ACGTACGCTAGCTATTACAGTTTATAGAAAAAATTGCAATAGTCACATTCGTGGTCACATTTTAAACAGCAATAATCTCCCTTTAATTTGTGCCCAAGAAATAAAAAGTTAGTCTAAAATTGTTCGAGTTATGAATTTTTTTCGATTTTTTTTTCCAATTTATTATGAATTACGAATACAAATTAAAACAAAAAATTAAACAAGGACTGTAGAATATTGCAACCTCCACGCGGCACACTCTGGGATAATGAATTTATTCATCAGCTAATCGCAGGGATAGAAACAACTTATGCAAACTAAAATCAATATAAAAACTTTAAAAAAAGTACTAAAAAAATTCAAAACTCAAACAGTTTTCTAACAATTTATTTTAATAGAAAATAAAAAAGGATTATCGCCTTTTAAAATAAAAAAATTGCAAATTTTTATTTTATTAAATTTTTAATAGCCAGCGTCCCCACCCGCCCGCATCAGAAAAACGAAAATTGAAAAAAAAGTTCAAAAAAAATTCATAACTCGATCAATTTTCGACCAAATTCCTGTTTCTTGGTCGCAAATTAAAGAAGGATTAATGCTTCTTGTCACTGGACCAATAAGAATATGTTTAAAAAATTTTTGATAGCCAGCGTCCCCACCCGCCCGTATCAGAAAAACGAAAATATCGAAATATGTCAAAAAAAATTCATAACTCGATCAATCTTCGACCAAATTCCTGTTTCTTGGTCGCAAATTAAAGAGGGATTAATGCTTCTTGTCACTGGACCAATAGGAATATGTTTAGAAAATTGTTGATAGCCAGCGTCCCCACCCGCCCGTATCAGAAAAACGAAAATTGAAAAAAAAGTTTAAAAAAAATTCATAACTCGAACAATTTTCGACCAAATTCTTGTTTCTTGGTCGCAAATTAAAGAGGGATTAATGCTTTTTGTCACAGAACCAATAGGAATATGTTTAAAAAATTTTTGATAGCCAGCGTCCCCACCCGCCCGTATCAGAAAAACGAAAATATCGAAATATGTCAAAAAAAATTCATAACTCGATCAATTTTCGACCAAATTCCTGTTTCTTGGTCGCAAATTAAAGAGGGATTAATGCTTCTTTTCATTGGACCAATAAGAATATGTTTAAAAAATTTTTGATAGCCAGCGTCCCCACCCGCCCGTATCAGAAAAACGAAAATATCGAAATATGTCAAAAAAAATTCATAACTCGATCAATTTTCGACCAAATTCCTGTTTCTTGGTCGCAAATTAAAGAAGGATTAATGCTTTTTTTCATTGGACCAATAAGAATATGTTTAAAAAATTTTTGATAGCCAGCGTCCCCACCCGCCCGCATCAGAAAAACGAAAATTGAAAAAAAAGTTCAAAAAAAATTCATAACTCGAACAATTTCTTACCAAATTCTTGTTTCTTGGTCGCAAATTAAAGAGGGATTAATGCTTTTTGTCACAGAACCAATAGGAATATGTTTAAAAAATTTTTGATAGCAAGCGTCCCCACCCGCCCGTATCAGAAAAACGAAAATATCGAAATATGTCAAAAAAAATTCATAACTCGATCAATTTTCGACCAAATTCCTGTTTCTTGGTCGCAAATTAAAGAAGGATTAATGTTTTTTGTCATTGGACCAATAAGAATATGTTTAAAAAATTTTTGATAGCCAGCGTCCCCACCCGCCCGCATCAGAAAAACGAAAATTGAAAAAAAAGTTCAAAAAAAATTCATAACTCGATCAATTTTCGACCAAATTCTTGTTTCTTGGTCGCAAATTAAAGAGGGATTAATGCTTTTTGTCACAGAATCAATAGGAATATGTTTAAAAAATTTTTGATAGCCAGCGTCCCCACCCGCCCGTATCAGAAAAACGAAAATATCGAAATATGTCAAAAAAAATTCATAACTTGATCAATTTTCGACCAAATTTTTATTTCTTGGTCACAAATTAAAGGGAGATTATTGCTGTTTAAAATGTGACCTCGAATGTGACTATTGCAATTTTTTCTATAAACTGTAATAGCTAGCGTACGTTGTTTTTGCGTTGATTAAACCGTATAGGGCCACCGCGCTACTATGTGTGTCGGCGCCTTTGGATTTTTCTGTTGGCTGGCGGCCGGCGGGTCGCTAGTTTCACCGAGCCAATTATTTTCAAAACATTAAAAAAAAATTCTTGGCAAAATTTCAATTAATTTAAAAAATTATTCCTTAATTCAATGATTTTCAATATTTACTATTTTAATAAAATTTTCCAAAAGAATGCAATTGTTTAAACAAATTTTAATAACATTTTTCACAAACATTTAATTATTTTCATAAAATAATATTCTTTTTGGAATTTTATTATTTTCAAAAGTAATAAAATTCTTCGCAGAAATTCAATTATGTTTCCAATTTTTTTTAAATTCTCGTCAAAATTTCAATTATTTTTATTTATTTTTAGAAATAATACAATTCTGCTCTAAAATTCAATTATTTTCGAAAATTTTAATAAAATTCTAAGCAAACATTTAATTATTTACATAAAAAATAAAATTTTTTTTAAAAATTCAATTATAATTTTCTATAATTTTTCTAAAATTCTTCTCTAAATCAATTATTTTTAATAATTTTTAAAAATATTCTTTGGATATTTTCAAATCCTTTTGTTTCCAATACAATTTAACAAAATTTCGATTATTCGGAAATTCTTCAATTGAATATATTTTGGAAAATAAAAACTTCAAAAAAAGCAACTAAATTTCTTCAAAAAAAATTAATTCTATAGAATTGTCAGTTAAAAGTATGAAAAATTAAAAGTTTAAAAGATTTTAATTTGAAACCTTTTTGAAATTAAATTATTATTTCTAAAATTCACGCTATAATTTTAGATAATATTCAATTATTATCTAAAATTTTAACTGAAATTCATATTTAAAACAATTTTTATTAGAAAATTCTACAGGAATTTTATGAAAGTAATTTAATTTTTGTGACGATTTTTATTAAAATATATTTTTTTGAATATTTGAATAATTGAATTCTATGAAGAATTTTATTAAAATGTTTTCAAAATAATTGCATTTCTACGTCGAATTTCACTAAAATTTTTGAAAATAATTAAATTCTTTCAAGAAATTTAATTAAACATATTTCAAGGATATTAAATAAATTCTAATAATAAATAAATGCAAATTTTTTTTAAATAATTAAATTCTTTTAAAGAATTTTAATAATATTTTGAAGAATAATTACTTTTTTCGAGGAATTCGATTAAAAATAAGTAAAATTCTGCGAAGAATTTTATTACTTTTGAAAAGAATTTAATTCCCGTGAAATTCTCATTAATTATAGAAATAATTAATTATTTTTAAAATTTTATTAAAATTTATTAAAATAATTGAATTTTGTAGAAGAATTTCTTTCAAGAAATTTAATTAAAAATATTTCGAGGATATTTAATAAATTCTAATAATGAATTAAAGCAATTTGTTTTTAAATAATTGAATTCTTTCAAATACTTTTAATAAAATTTTTACGAATAATTACAAAATAATTGTAATTTTACATAGAATTTCATTAAAATTTTTAAAAATAATTGAATTTTAGAGAAGAATTATTTTATTGTTTATAAAAAATAATTGAAATTTTAACGAGAATTTTTTAAAAAATTTGGAACATAATTATATTTTTGCGAAGAATTTTATTACTTCTTAAAATAATTGAAATTCTGCAAAGAATTTTATTACTATTTTGAAAATAATTGAATTTCTGGGAGAAATTTAATTATTTTATGAAAATAATTGGATTTCTGGGAGGAGTTTTATTATTTATGTGAATAATTGAATTATTGCGAATAAATTTATGAAAAATTTGTAAATAATTGAATTCTAATGAAATTCTTATTATTTATGAAAATAATTGAATTTCTAAAATGAATGTTATTATTTATAAAAATATAATTGAATTTCTAAAATGAATGTTATTTATGAAAAGAATTTAATTATTGAATTCCTGTGTAATTTATATTATTTATAAAAATAATCAACTATTTGCGTAGATTTTTATTAAATTTTTTTTCCAAATAATTGTTTTTCTTTTTTTAATTCAAGTAAAAATAAACCAAAACATAACCTTAAAATGATTTGCTTTTTAAATAACTTTTTCTTCAAAGCACGTCACATATATTCTAATACCAAATTTAATATTCTTCTGGAATAGATGGACATTTATTTATAAACAGCATTCTACGTTTACGTCAATGGGGTGCGCTTTGCCCTTTGGGGAATGTTTTTAAAAAAAAGTATTGAAGATACGAGACATATGAATGTACATCGTAAGAGAAAATTGTCTTTTCCCGAGCATTTGCAAAAGACCTTTTCGAAATGAGACACTCGTGAAGTGCCGAAGAAAAGACTTTTTGTATACTTTATCGATTTAGTTCAACCTTTTGTATACACATATTGAACAGTTCAGACCACTTGATATGCATTTATAGCAAAAGCATAGTTTTCGAAGTTATCGAAAATTCTGAATTCAAGAAAATCAGTAAATCACAATAAAAACATAAGTTCAAAATGATCCTCATCGTTCAATACACTATGATTTTTATAAGCAAAACTGATACTTTATTTTCAGTTAATTATTTAATTTAAAAAAAATGTTTAAACTTTTAATATAAATAATTTTTAAACTTTTGTTTTTATAAAAGAAATAAATTGCAAATTATTAAGAGACTATAATTAATAATTTGCAATTTATTTTTTGTCTCAATTTGTGATATCCCTTTGACAAAAAGCGAATCAAAAGTGTTGCTTCGCAACAATTTTGATACGTTTTTTTTGTCTCAATTTGATATCCTAAGAAAGAGTGTATGCATAAGAAGACATTTTTGTAGCCTCACACGATGGAAAATTCGATCAAGCACATATGTTTCATATCAATGTGTGCACATACATAAATATACTTTAGATGCACGGCCATAAAATTTTATAAAAAGAATAAATATAAAATGAATTTTCTTACCTTGAACGGGGAAGAAACATGGAACCATCGATGAACACGGAACCAGAGAGAAGAATGTACCAGCTGGTTGCAAGTTCGCCAGTGCTGAAAGCAATTGTTCTGTGATTTATAACGTGCAATAAGATGAGAGACTTTTCTTCTCTTCCACCCTCATTTCTTTTGCACGATCAATTTTCCGCGCATCGAAAAACGATCGTCTTATCTCGATTTCTTTGACTATAGTGCTGCGCGCACAAAGAAAATCTCCCAATTTTACAAATTTCAATTAAACAAAATTATATCAAATTTTTTTAAATAAAAGAATTTTTTCAAAGAATTTAATTTAAATTTTTAAGAATAATAATTGCATTTTTAGCGGAATTAATTTAAAATCATATTAAAAATAATTGAAATCCTGCGATATAATATATTATTTATAAAAATAATTAAATTTTTGTCACCGAATTTTAATAAAGTTTTTTAAATAATTGCATTCTTGAGAAGAATTAAAAAAAATTTTTTTTAATGAAAAGATTTTTTCCAAAAAATTTTATGAAAATTGTGTTTTAAATAATTGAATTTTTTTGAAAAATGTATATTATTTATGAAAATAATTGAATCCTTTCAAAAATTTTATTAAACTGCTATTCAAAACAATTCAATTATTATAAAGAACTTCATTACAATTTTTGAAAATAATTGAATTTTTGAGAATTTTATTAAAATTTTGAAGAATATTTGCATTTTTGCGTAATTAATCTAAAATTGCATTAAAAATAATTGAAATCCTGCGTTAAGTTTTAATATTTATATAAAAATATAATTCAATTCTTTCAAACGATTTAATTATTTTCAAAAATTTTAAGAAAAGTTTTCGTAAGAATTCAATTATTTTCTCAAATAATGAAAATCTTCGATAAAATTCAATTATTTTCAATATCTACACTGTAAAAAGAAAGGTACTAACTTAGTACCAAAATTGGTATTAAATCGTAATTTGGTTCTATTTTAGTACCGAAATCAGCTCTAATTTAGAACCTTTTTTTTATAGTGTACTATTTCAATCAAATTTCAAGAAAAAATTCAATTATTTAAAAGAATTTAAATTTTTTTAATTTCTTCGCAAGAATTCAATTATTTTTATAAATAAGAAAATTCAGGTCAGACATTCAATTATTTTTAAAAATTTTAATCAAATTTGTTATAAGAATTCAATTATTTTCATAACCAAAAAAATTCAACCCAGAATTTCAATTATTTTTAATACAATTTTAAATAAATTTTTCGAAAAATTATATATTTGATAAAATTAATTATTAGAATTTAATAATTATTCTCAATACATTTTTAATTAAATTTCTTGAATGAATTTAATTATTTCCAAAAATTTTAAAAAAATTCTTCGTAGGAAATCAATTATTTTCAAAAAATTTTATTAAAATTCTTAGGAAACATTTAATTAATTTCTTAAATTTGTCGAAATTCAATTATTATAAAAAATTAAATTTTTGTCACCGAACTTTAATAAAGTTTTTTTAAATAACTGCATTCAATGAGAAGAATTACAAAAAAAAAATCTTTTTCAAAAAATTATATGAAAATTGTGTTTTAAGTAATTGAATTTCTTTGAAAATTGTATATTATTTGTGAAAATAATTGAATTCTTTCAAAAAATTTTATTAAACTTATATTGAAAACAATTCAATTATTCTAAAGAATTTTATTCAAATTTTTTTAAATAATTGAATTTTTCGCAAAATTTATTTAAAATTGTATTAAAATTTAAAAATAATTGAATTTTTTCAAAGATTATTCGTAATATTTAAAAAAATAATTGAATTCCTGAGAAGAATTTTATTATTTATAGAAATAATTGAATTCTTGCAACGATTTTTATTAAAATTTTAAAAATGAACTAAATTCCTGATAAGAATTTTATTATTTATAAAAATAATTGAATTATTGCGAAGAATTTTTCAAAACTCTATTTAAATAATTGATTTCTTTCAAAAAATATTAGGAAAATTCTGTTTGAAATAATTGAATTCCTATGAAAATTTGTTTATTCATGAACATAATTGAATGTTTGCGAAGAATTTTATAAACATTTTTTTTAAAACTATTCAATTCTTTTGGGAAATTTTTTATTAGAGTAGTAAATATTAAAATTCAATAAATTACGAAAAATTCGTGAAAATAATTGAATTGTTTTAAAGAATTTGATTAAAATTTGAATTTTTTCCAATAACTTTATTAAAATTTTTGAAAATAATATTTTTATTTCAACTGTTTGCAAATTGAAATTAGTGTAAATTCTTAAACATGGAAAAAAGTAGTTTTTAGTGTAACAAATAAAAAAATGTATCCAAATAGTAGCAAATCGTAAAACAATTAGTAACTAGCATATGTTTTCGAAAAGATGAGTGCGAGGCCTGATATATTTGTATATAAATTTTCGAATTCAAAAATTTCTACAGATTCGCCAAGAATCTACCTTTTGATATAAATGCGAGTATTTTCTAATGAAGTTGATAGTTGAAGAAAAGATTAATTGAGAATAATTATAGAGACAATAGTGGAAAATTAGAGGCAACAATATGAATAATCATGAGTGGAAATGATGAAAGAGAATAGAAAGGAAAGGGGGATGAAAGGACACCAAGTATTCTGGTGCAACCTTTTTATCCGAAGCACGTACCGGAAGTCTTTGTCTTGCGACAAGAAAGAAGAGGGGGATGTAGAGTTTCACGTTTGTGTAAATCTCTTTTATTGTTACATGTTTCACATGTACGCTCCTCTTTATAATTAAAAAAAATTCTGTACATTAAAAATTTAAAAATTACTATATTATAAAATTTTTGTTTTAGGGGTTGTTGCTGCGCGAATTAAAATTGTGATGCCCTCTGATGATGAATGAAGGAATATATATTTTTTTTAATCGCAGTTATTTTGAATGAGTCTTTCTTCTTTTAATAAATTCACTAATGGAACTACGAGAGATATCTATTGGATGAATTCGAAAACTAAACCATTTCTGTCTGATGTTTATTACCGACTGCAGTCGACTTGTTACTTACAGCAGATAACAGTAGCAGTAGGTAAAGAAGAAATTTTTCAAATACCGATAATATAGAAACCTACGTCTGCATTGAGGCGCCATCATCAGAAGAATGTAGAAGCAATTTAAAATAGCACGTGGACATTGTGATTATTTACTTTTGTCTAAAGCACGTTTCACCTATTTTTACATTTCCTACCTCAACTGCAAGAAATGTAAGCTGCAATTTTTTTTATGTTTTACAAACCTCGTGACGACTTTTAGAGATAAAAATCCCTGAAGTCGATTAAAGATACAAAAAAATTTAAGTTTTTTTAAGATAGTTGAATTTTAAAAAATTTTGAATTTGAAATTGAATTTTAAAAAAAATAATAAAAATAATAATAAAAATAAATAATAATAATGATTTTAATAAAATTAGAAATGGACTTACTAGTAAAGAACATGATTGGCATGATGTCTCTCGTAACGAACTATTTTGCAAAGACCACGAAGAACGGAATCCCTACAGGGTCGTAACGCCTCCAAACCCAGTAAACCGTAATAAATGATCTGTAAATCCTGAAACAAAAGAAAACACAAAGACTTAAAAAAAATCATTATACATACAAAAATTAATTATATATCATTAAAACAAATGTCTCTGAAACTAAAATTCAACTCCACTCTGACCTAATGTTTCAATTTATCCAAACGGAACCCTCACGGTTATTAGGCATTTTTTTTTTTTTTAAACCGCAAGAAAACAGTTCAACTAATCATAATTTTCACTCAATTGAATTGAACTCACAAAGGAAAAAAACAATTGTTAATAAACAACCAACAAATGTGACGCGCTCGCAATAAAGATAATAATCTTTGAAACAGTTCTTTAAGAATTTTTAAATCTATTTGTTTACAGTTCAATTTTACGTGAAATTTCGATTATTCAGAAATTCAATTAAATTCAATTCAATGAAAAATATGTTAGAAAATAAAAACTCCAAATAATATAAAAATAACCCAAAATATTTTCTTCCACCTTTCTTCGAAGCGCGTCACAAATTATGTCTGTATACATCTCTTTCAAAGTATTCAAATTTTATAATAAAAGTTATTAACAAGAAAAAGTTTCAAGTCATTGTAATAAACTATTTTCTGCAATCATGTTGTAAAAGAGAGGAAGAGAGACTTTTTTCTGTAATGACAATATCTTTTAAACTTTATATAAAACTTTCTCCAAACTTTATTATACTTTAAAGTTTAAACTCACTCTCTTTGATTTAAGTCTGTTTCAATTTATTTATAATACTATTAATGCGCTTATTTGTGTCTATTATTATCGTTATTGTAACTATTAATATTAATTGTAAACCATTATTGCAACTTAAAGGTGAAAGAAGTTTACAATTATTGTAACTATTAATATTAATTGTAAACCATTATTGTAACTGAAAGGTGTAAGAAGTTAACAATTAATGTAACTATTAATTGTAAACCATTATTATAACTATTAATAGTAAAAAATTATTGTAATTAGTTTCTATAAATATTTTAGAAAACTATTTAAAAAATACAATTACCGACGAAATGAAAATAATGATATTTAGATAGAATCGAATATAGTTTGTGGCTAAATGTCAGGTTTGCTTTATAACGTCGCGTGGTACTTGAACGATCGAAAGTACAGCTATAGTGGCATAAAATACTAAGGTGGCATGGCTAGTTGTTGCTTAGCTTGCATGTAATAGTACACAGAATGCAAGAATCAAGAGGCATATTACAACACCATAGGCAGAAATCTAACTTCGAGTTATATATACGGGTCATTCTCACAATCGGGACACATGACACGTACATTAGATTTTTAAAAATAAATAATAATAATTTTTCAAAATCTTTACGTCCTAATAATAGCATTCATCATGATTTAATCGGATCCTATGAAAAATAAATCGAAAATTTGAAATATTTAAAGATACACGTGTTTATATAGCATAAAAACTCCCCTCCGTTACCGTTCATGAAGTAAGTTTCATTTATAGAAAAGGTATTATATTAATTCTGTAATACAAAAAAATCTTTTGCCCGGTAATATCTACTTATTATTTTATTTCTAATTGAATCATGAAAAATAAAGTAAAATATTTGTTAGTTATTTTTACCTAGAATTAAATTAGTTTTGTGCAGAAATAAAACTCCCCTCCGTTACCGCTCACAAATATAATTATAAAATATAAACAAAAACGATAAAATAGAAATAAATACATCAAAACTCTTTGTAGTGTCAGTATAGTTATGGTTATTGCATAAAATGATGAAACAAAATGAAAACAATTAGTTTTAAAAGAATCTTTAGTTTGTCAGTGTTCATCGACACAATAAAAACTCCCCTCCGTTACCGCAGTAAATTTAGTTTTTAGGACGTAAATAATAATAATTTTTGATAATCTTTAAAACATTGATTTATTTAAAAACAAAGAAAACAAATGCTGTCATTAATTTATTTATAATATTTTTTTTTTATATTATAATCATAACATTTTGAAGCTGTATAATGGAAGAAAACTCCCCTCCGTTACCCATGGTATATATCCATTACACAGCACGTAAATTACAGACTTTATTAATCATCGGATTCGCCTGAAAATCGTTACTCGGGGGTTTTTAGAGTTGCTGATTACGAATATGATAATAATTTTTGAAAATTCAAAATGGCGGATCCAACATGGCGGCCAATTTTTTAAAACATTCATCGGATTTGCTTGAAACTCGTTACTCGGGGGTTTTCGGGGTTGCTGATTACGAATCTCATGTCAGTTTTTGAAAATTCAAAATGGCGGATCCAATATGGCCGACATTTTTTTTCAAAACTGCTCAGATTTGCATAAAATTTGTTACTTGGTGGTTTTCGGAGTCGCTGATTACGAATCTGTTATTAGTTTTTAAAAATTCAAAATGGCGGATCCAACATGGCGGACACTTTTTGAAAAATTCATCGGATTTGCTTGAAACTTGTTATTAGGGGGTTTTCGGGGTCGCTGATTACGAATTTTGGGTCAGTTTTAAAAAATTTTAAATGGCGGATCCAATATGGCGGATAATTTGAAGATTGATGCTATTCGATAGAAATTCGTTCCTCAGGGGTTTTTGGGGTCGCTGAATTCGAATTTGATGTTTGTTTTTAAAAATTGCAAATGGCTGATCTAGTATGAATAATTAATTAGATTGGCTTAAAACTTGTCGCTCTGGGGATTTCGGGATTTTGAATTTTCAAAAACTGACATCGGATTCGTAATCAGCAACCCCGATAACTCCCGAATAACGAGTTTCAAGCATACCCGATGAATTTTTGAAAAAAGTATCCACCATATTGGATCCGCCATTTTCAATTTTCAAAAACTATCTTGAAATTCATAATCAGCGACCCCGAAAACCCCCGAGTAACGAGTTTCAAGCAAATCCGTTAAATTTTTGAAGAAAGTGTCTGCCATATTGGATCCACCATTTTGGATTTTGAGAAACTGACATCGGATTCGTAATCGGCGACCCCTAAAACCCCTGAGTAACGAGTTTTAATTAATTTTCATCAATTTGGAAACCCATTTAGCTGCGAGAAATTTTCAACAAAAATTCTGATTAAAAAACATTAATTTTTAATAATAATGTTGATAAAGATTGTAACCACGTATTTTATAGGCTTATTAGGATCCCCCTTTTGCCAAAGGACTAATAATAAAAGTGAATTTTCAACTTTTTTTAAAATGAAATTTCAATTCTGAATTTGTTCCTTTCTAGAGATTGACCCATACACACTACACTCATATGTCTCCATAAGAATCGTACAGTACCGTTTGCTTATCAATTATTATTTCCTCTTAAAAACTGCTATTATTTTCACTCTACAATTAGCCTACATTGTATTTATGCTTCATAAGCAGGAAAAAACTTAATGATCGATTATTTTTAGAACAAAATTTTTTCCTTCAGCAAATACTAACACTATACCATTCTTTTTTTCTACAAAAATTAGGCGTCAAAAATGATATTTTTTCACGAAATAGGAAAGAAACAAGTAACAGGTCTTGTCTTGCACTCATCTACTAAAACCTACTATTTACTACTTTTTTAAGATTTGGATACTTTTTTTTATTTGTTACCCTAAAAGCTACTTTTTTCCATGTTTGAGATTTTAGGATTTTACACTACTTTTAATAAAAAAAATTCCCAAAAGAATTGAATAATTTTAAAAAAATGTTTATAAAATTCTTCGCAAACATTCAATTATTTTCACAAATAAAAAAATTTCCACCGGAATTCAATTATTTAACAGCATGTGATTGTTACAGAATTCAATGTTAATTTTTTCGACCACTTTTCTCTTAAAATATTAAATAAATTAAGCTAGTTTTTTGTGAATAACTTTAAAATATCATAAAGAAGGGCAGTGATGTGAAAAAGTTTTAATATTTTTAAAATTATTTATTAAAAAATAACTTTAAAATTATCAGTTCTCAAAATCACTTTTAATCAATTTCTCGTCTTTTCCGATTTAAAAGTATTTTTTTATAATTTATTTTAGAATTATTAAAACTTTTGCACATCACTGCTCTTCTTTATTATATTTTAGAGTTATTCACAAAAAACTATCTTAATTTATTTAATATTTTAAGAGAAAAGTGGTCGAAAAAATTAACATTGATTTCTGTAACAGTCACATGCTGTTAAAACAGAATTTTCCTAATATTTTTCGAAAATAATCAATTATTTAAATAGATTTTTATATAATTCTTCTCAAGAATGCAATTATTTTAAAGACTTTATTAAAGTTCCGTGACAAAAATTCAATTATTTTCATAATTAATAAAACTCATCGAAGAATTTCACTTATTTTTAATACTATTTTAAATCAATTAATCAAAAAATTCAATTATTTTCACATATAAAGTTTTACACAAGAATTCAATTATTTAAAAAAAAAATTTCATAATATTTATTATATTTGGAAAAAATTAATTATTTAAAACAATACGTTTAAAAAAATCTAATAAAGAATTCAATTATTTTCAAAAATAACAAAATTTTTCACCGAAATTCAATTCTTTTTAAACATATTTTAATACAATTTTTCGCAAGAATTCAATTATTTTCATAAATAATCAAATTTCCACAGAAATTCAATTATTTTTGAAAATTTTAATGAAATTCTTAGCAACTGTTCCATTATTTTCATAAATAATAAAATTGATTTCAGGATTTCAATTTTTAATACAATTTTACATGAATTGCTCAAAAAAATGCAATTATTCTTAAAACTTTAATTTCGATTCCTCGAAAAAGTCAATTATTTAAAAAAAAGGTTTTTTTAATGGAAAAATTGAATTATTTACAAAAATATTATAATTTTTCACAGAAATTCAATTATTTTCAAAATAGTTTAATAAAATTGTTCTAAAGAAATCAATTATTTGAAATACAAATTTAATTAAATTTTCTTGAAAGATTTCAATTATTCTTTTAGATTTTAATAAAATACTTCCCAAGAATTCAATTATTAACATAAATAATTATTCGAAAGAATTCAATTATTTCGATAAATAACAAAATTATTCCCGAAAATTCAATTATTTTGGGGCATTTTAATAAAATTCTTTGCAAAATTCAATTATTTTCATAAATAACAATATTGATCACAAGAATTCAAATATTTTTAAAAGTAATAACTTTTTTTTTTAAATTCTATTATTTTAAAAAGTTTTAACAAAATCGTTTGTAATAATTCAATTACATTAAAAAATTTTTATGAAATTCTTTATAATTATTTTTATAAATTTTAAAACTCATCGCGGATTTCAATTATTTTTAATTTATTCAATAAATTATTTATTTTTGTATTTAAATAATTGAATTCTCGTAGAACTTTCTAATAAGAATTGATTTAGAATTGAATAAAATAAAATGATTAAAGTTTTGAATAATTTTATAATTTCAAGAAAAATAGGATTGAATTTTGAAAAAACTTTTGTAATTTTTAGAAATAGTTAAATTTCAAAAATGCGTTACATTGAAATGATTTGAAATATTTGAATTCCTGGAGACAAAATAAATAGGTATTTAAATATTTATTTTAAAAAATTATTCTATTTTTCCTAGTAATTTAGAAATTATAAAAAAATTGAGTCAAGTTTAATTTTTCGATAGCTAGTTTTTTACTACTTTTTTTCTATCTTTAAGCTACCTTTTGCTACTTTTTTAAAATTAATTATGGAGTACGAAGCCTGAAGTAATTATCACAAATTTTAGGTTAATTTTTAGGTTGAAAAAGTGGCTTGAACATATTTTTAAACTCCCCCAAATGAAAAAAGGAAAATTAGAACCATTTTCATCTCTAAAAATCCAAATAATACTTTTTGCAGCTAATTTCAGGAAATAAGTTACTAAATAACAACTATTTAACTAACTCTATATGACTAACTCCTATTTGAATGGTAATTTTTTTCCAAGTATAAAAATAAAAATATGTAAATTATAAAATTACAGTAACCGCAATATAAAATTTTCAAAAAAGAAAATTTATGTAGGAATGACAATAAATAAGAAAGAATACAAAAATTCATATAGAGAAGAGAAGAATGTGCGTCATTTCATCTTAGATAATGTTTATAAACACTTTAAAAGCCAGAAACGAAAAGAGGAGAGTCACGTGACCGACTTTTTTGTAGGTCTCAAAATGGAACGTCCGCTTGGACCCGCGAAGAATTCCTGACGACCTTGAAGGTGAGATAGAATCTCACCTCTGCAGTCACGACACAGAAAATTCCCTATAGATATATTCAAATTCAAACACAATATTTACAAGTTTAACGCTACATTAAAATTCAAAATTATTATAATTATCACAATCATAATTATCATTTTTCACTAATATATAATACGTTACTAGTTTTTTTGTGTGTCATAACAAAAAAAAAAAAAAAAATGAATACCTAATGTCATAAAATGAATAACTATTAAAACTTATTTAATAATTACAATAATAACAGGGAATGATTAATTTTAAGTTGCTTCAAGTTTTTCAATTATTAAAAAGAACAGATGAGTTTTAACTTTTAACGGAAATTTTCGATTATAGTATTAAATATTCAATGTTCGGTTTTATAACACATGATGATATATTCAAAAAGGAAAATACATAAAGAGTGACGATTAAATTGAAAAGAAGTGATTAAATCGGAAGAGAAGTGTTTAGCGCCACTCAAAAACGAGGAATACACAAAAAATACTTTCATTGTCACAAAAAAATACCGTTATAGAGACATCATGAAGGGAATTAAATTCTCGGTTTGAAAGGCCTTGTTTCGGTAATCGCCTTTCAAAGTTTGTGTCCTTCTTAAATTCTACAGGTTAAATCAGAAAGTTGTATAGATTAAAGATAGATCTTCAAGATCGTCTCCTTGTACGAAAGCAAATTACCTCTAAACTACGCGTCAAACTAACCGAATTTTAATTAATTTCCAACCACCCAAACTTCCACTTTTAGTTCCTATACTCACACTATACACACTACAAAGCGAACCTAATATCTAATATCTAACCTAATATCTCGTACAGAATCCCAACAATAAAAATTTAACAATATTTTTCTAAAAAGATATTTTCACTTTTCACAAGCAGTGTTGCCACGAAAATTTTATTTTATTTTCCCCAACGGTTCAGGGAAATCAGGAAATTTATCGAAATGTCAGGGAATGTAAAATTTGAAATTTGTAAAATTTTACATTCCCTACATTTCCATAAATTTCCTGATTTCCCTGAAAACTGTGTCAACCCTGGATAAATCCAAGTAAATAAAAATTGTACCAATTGAAAAGTATTATTAACAGTAAAAATAATAATAGTTAATTAATTAATTAATAATAATAATTAATTACAAGATTATTAACGGAATTTTTTAAAACTCACCTGAAGCGTCCTTCGTTCTGGATCACGGCAGAGTGCCCGAATTAAATGTTGATCCAAATATTCCGTCATAATCGTTAAAATCCAACGACAATAATTACTGGATCAGCTCGTACGTGTGATTTATCACGCGAAACTTTCCGAACCATTGTACAAAAGAAGATTTCACATTTCTCCTTTTTTTGATGCATAAACAACACTACACTTTTTGAATTTTACAACTGATGACAATTTTCCCGCTCTGCCATGACAAATTTTAAGATTAAGACTCTTTTAAAGACACTCAACATCACCTTTTCGGTGGTCGATTCCTGCAACATAAAGAAAAAAATCATGAAATTAATACAAGCCTATTTAAATTATATACGTTCTAAATGATATCAGATACAGACTTCGCACTCGATAATTAATTTTAAAAAAGTAGCAAAAAGTAGCTTCTAAACTAAAAAAAATAGTAAAATAGTAAATAAAAATAGTAAAAAAAAACTTGATAACCAAAAAAACTCGTTTTAGACACTTCACAGAACTGACAAAAATTCCATTCTTTATTTTATTTTCCCGACTTTTTCCTAATTTTCATCAAAAATATTTACTTCCTTCTTATCCTGCGATAATAAATTTAATTCCCGCAACGAATTTTATTATTCATGAAAGAATTTAAATATTTATAAAAATAATTTAATTCTTGCCAAAAATTATATAAAAATGTTTAAATAAATAAATTTTTTTGAAAAATATTATTAAAATAGTAAATATTGAAAATCATTGAATTGAGAAAAGTTTTTCAAAAATTAATAAATTTGACAAAGAATTCTAATAAAATTTTTGACAATAATTTAATGTCTGTGTGGTATTTTATCAAATTTTTTGGAAAATAATTGAACTTCTAAAAACTTTTTTATTATTTACGAAAATAATTGAATTTTTGAGAACGATTTTATTAGAATTTTTTTTAATAATTGAATTTACAAGAAGAAATTTATTACTCTTAAAAATAATTGAATTCTTATTATAAATATTGTTATTACACTGTAAAAAATTTAGGGAGTTAACGGACTCGGGAGTTGGGAGTTAAATTTTTCGAGTTAAAAATCAACTCCAAAAGAGAGTTAATTTCTAACTCCCTTCATTCAACACCCGCGCGAGTTATTTTTTCCTTGGGGAGTTAGCATTTGGGTGTTAAATTTTAACTCTCTTTATTTAACTCCCCTGGCATTAACTCTCCAATAGGTGCGACTTTTATAGACTCCCCTGGGGAGTTAAAATTTAACTCTCTTTTTTTACAGTGTAATGAAAATAATTAATGGTTTGCATAGAATTTTATTAAAATATTTTTAAATAATTGAATTCTTTTGAAAAATTTTATTAAAATAGTAGTACATATTGAAAATCATTGAATTGCAAAAAGTTTTAAAAAATTATTAAACTTTACAAAGAATTCTATTAAAATTTTTGACAATAATATTGAATGTCTGTGTGATATTTTATTAAATTTTTTGGAAAATAATTGAATTTCTAAAAACCTTTTTATTATTTACGAAAATAATTGAATTCTTGCGAAGAATTATTTATGTAAAAAAATAAATTCTTGTGAAAAATTTAATTAAAATCTAAAAGAATAATTGAATTATTTCAAAAAAATTTAATTAAAATTGCATTTAAAAGAATTGATTTCTTTCGAAGAAATTTATTGAAATTTTATTGAAATATTTAAAAATAATTGAATTCCTGTGAAAAATTCTAATATTTTTGTAAATAAATGAATTCTTCCAAAGAATTTTAAAAAAACATTCTTTCAAATAATTAATTTTTTCGAGGAATTGGGGATAAATTTTTAAGAATAATTACATTTTCGAGAAATTCCTATAAAATTGTATGAAAAATAATTAAAATCCTGAGATGACTTTTATTATTTATGAAAATAATTAAATAGTTGCAAAGAATTTTACTATAATTTTCAAAAATAATTGAAATTCTTTGATAAGTTTCATTATTTATGAGAATAATTGAATTCTTGCAAAAAATTTTATTAAAATGTTTGAAAAGAATTGAATTTCAGTGAAAAATTTTGTTATTTTTAAAAATAATTAAATTCTTCATAAGAATTTTATAAACATTGTTTTAAATAATTAATTTTTTCAAAATATAATAAATATTATAAAACTTTTTTTTAATAATTTTAATTCTTGTAAAGAATTTTAATAAAATCTAAAATAATTGAATTAAACTTCAAAAAAAAAATGTTATGAAAATTGTATTTAAAATATTTGATTTCTTTCTAACAATTTTATTAAAATATTTGAAAATAATTGAATTTCGGTGAAAAATTCTAATACTTTTGTAAATAATTCAATTCTTCCATTTAAAAAAATCATTTTTTTAAATAATCGAATTCTTTCGAAGAATTTTATTAAAATTTTGAAGTATAATTGCATTTTTAGCGGAATTAAAAATGTTATTAAAAATAAATGAAATTCTGCGATATGTTTTATTATTTATGAAAATAATTGATTTCTTGCAACGATTATTATTAAAATTTGAAAAAATAATTGAAATCCTGCGATGAATTTTATTATTTAGGAAAATAATTGAATAGTTCCAAAGAATTTTATTAAAATTTTCCAAAATAATTGAATTTCTGTGGAAATTTGATTATTTATGAAAATAATTTTATGAAAAATTTTATTAAAATGTTTAAAAAGAATTGAATTTCTGTGAAAAATTTTGTTAATTTTGAAAATAATTTAATTCTTGATAAGAATTTTATAAACATTATTTTAAATAATTAAAATTTTCGAAATATAACAAATATTATGAAAATTTTGATTTTTAATAATTGAATTCTTGTGGAGAACTTTATTTGTGAAATTAATTGAATTTTTCGATTAATTAATTTAAAAATAATTAAAAATCTTCGAAGACTTTTGTTATAAAAATAATAAAACTCATTCAATTATGAAAATAATTGAATTTTGGATAAATTTTGTTAATTCTTTTTAAATAATTGAATTCTTTTGAGAAATTTTATGAAAATACTAGATATTGAAAATAATTTAATTTCGAATATGTTTTTTTGAATATAATTGAATTCTTTTAAAAAGAATTTTATTATAATTTTTGAGATTATGATTTCGTACCAAAATTGGTACCTTTCTTTTTACAGTCGCTAACTTCGATGAAATAATTTTTATTTATTTGTCAAATGCCATATAAATGAAAATCATAGAAGTTAAAAGATCGTTTAGGGCAAAATTTTCGAAACAATTAGTTTGATGCTTTTCGAATTCGCAAATACTTTCGTTTCATCAATTGTCAATTTTACAATCCACGAAAATTTAATACCGTGTAATTTTCTGTTTTAACCTCGATTAAATCTAGAATATCACAAGATATGTTCTATATTGATTTCAATTTCCATTATAGTTGATTCAACACGAAGCTGAAAATGATACCCCATCGAAAATGAAATCAATATTATACGGTTGTACAAGTTCTATATTGCAGAAAATAGTACAAATAAAAAACAAAACTAACAATATTTTTAATATGATTTGTACAAATATAGACATTGAATTGTGTGCGGTTTATAACATTTGATGTTGTCATCAATAACCACTCTCGATAGATGAACAATTTAATCGTTATGGAACTTGCGGACACGCAGATGAACCGTTGCGAGGAAACAATATTACTAACAGTAATATCGATCAAACCGAAGGTAAAGGTCGAATGAAATGTTTCTATCTTTTTTATATATACAGATACAGAAAAAGTGTCATTTTTCATCGACTGAGCAACAAAAATTGCTAGTTTTTTTTACGTAATAACAATATTTTTCTAATTTTTATAAAACTCTACTTTAGAATATTATCGACTACTTTGCAATTTGCTTTTTGGTAGTTATAACTGATTATTATAATAGCAACTTGTCAGTCAGTAACTTTAGACTTTTTTACAAAATTTCAGCTCAATTTGTTCAAAAATTGAGAAAAAATTGAGAAAAATGGTCGACAAAATTGAGTTTCCGCAAATTTAGTCTAATAACGTCTGAAATTCTCTGATTACAAAAGTAAGGTATACTTTAAAATAAAAAGAATAAAAGAAAAGGAAAACGTAATGAAAGATAAGACCAAAAGGAGAAAAGCTGTTAAGACAAGGCTGGAAAATCATAGAATTGGATGCTGGAGAAGCAATGGTTCTTAAGTTCATCACCCGACCTTGGATAAATGACGTCACGCAAACCACATACCTAACTACCTTGGAAGCAACGAGTCGAGGTCGTCAGAGTACTTAGACTGAGTACATTGACCAATCCATATAAACTTTTAACGTCAAAATTAACAATCAACTATTATAGTTCCTACAACTACAACAACACTGAGGAAACAATATATTTTACTCAAACATAATTATCCACATTATACAGACAATCAAAAATTATTTTTAAATTAAACAGAATAATTTTGATTCCCTACATAATAAGTTTGATTCAATACATAATTAATTTTGATTCAATACATAATAATATTGATTCAATGCATAATAATATTGATTCAATGCATAATAATATTGATTCAATAATAATTTGTAGAATAATAATTTTGATGCAATGCATAATAATTTTGATTCAATAAAAATGAAGTTTAATTCGATTTTATAAAATATGTATTTAATTCAAAAATATTTTTTTCATTGACTTCTTATTTTTGGATTAAAAAATTGTTTTCTCACTGAAGTATTAAACAATACAAGAAGTATATTTATCAATAAGATCCAATCTCTTAATTGAAAAACTAAACTACGACAAGAATGAAACCTGATATTTTTTATGATACTACAACTTGCACCTATTTATCAAAAACTACTTAATTTTATATTATATTGCGTTGGTTTTAAAGCAAAAAAAAAATATTTAACATTAAAATTTAATTTCCAAAATTAAGTGCTTGCTGATGTCAGTTTCAACTTCTTTTGTAGGTAATAAAAATCGTCGACGCTAACTTCGGGAAATTGATAATATTTTATTAATTAATATTTAATAAATGCTGTATTAATAACAAATATGTGACGAAGCCCCTTCAGATATTACATGCATAGAACCTTGAATGGAACTGAAAAGTATTTTTTATTCTCGAGTTTAAAATGTCGATAGCATATTCTATACGCTGAGAGATGTGACAAGTGATGAATATATCATTTCTATATTAACCTGTCTCTTTTTTCATCTGACAAAGAATTGACCTAGTTTCATTTCTAAAGCGTTCAACTTTTGTCGAAACTTGAAGTCAAATTTATCGCAAGTTTCACGAAA